CTGGCTGGGCACACAATCACGAGCCACCACACAGCTTGTAGATTCAAACAGCAACTCTTTATTCCCGAACTCACACCAGCCGTCTACAATCACGTTCTGGGGAAATCCACGGTCTCTGCCCAAATCCACATCCACTGGGCTTCTATCTCCCAAAAATATACTGTCTGAATCCCGTGAGAACTCAAGGGGAACTCAGGCAGCAGGATACGCCCTATTCCCAGGAGGAATAATCTTAAACCTGGAACACCCTAAACTGGATTATCCTAAACTGGGAACACCCTAATCCGCCCTGGTCCTTGAGCAAGGTCACCTACATTCAATGTCACTGCAACATGGGGTACGCTGGCAAGGAAATTGTCATACCTACTTGGCTAATGGCTCCCAGCATTATTTATCTTTCCTTTTACTGTTTATGTGGTTAAAAAAATAGGGATAATAATACTATATAAGGATGTTGTGAGGATTAAATGGACTAATACATATTAGGCATTTAGAATAGTGCTTAGTACTTAAGTATCTAAGACATTTTAGTTGCTGTTATTATCTGAGTGTGACTATTTGCTCTTTGGAATTTATATATGACAAAAACTAACCAAACCAGAGGTAATCTACTTAGAACTTATGTCCCAAAATATTGAGCCTAAATTTATATAAACCAATTGAAATTCCAAATGTACAACCATTTCTCGATGTTTCTGAGCCTTTGTTTCCCCACTTGAAATTTTCAGAATTATTTAACCTGCTTCAGAATGTTACAGTGGAAATTAAATTAATCCATTCACAGGAAGTAGGCTCCTTCCATTTATTAACTATAATCTTAAGAAAGTTATTTGTCTCACTAAGCCTCAATTTTCAATCCATGGCACAAATGAAGTTTGTGCCACCTACCAATTATCACCCACTTAGGACCAAATATATAATATATGTGAAGTGTGAAACACAATTACTGTTGCAAATGAGTGATTATTATAACTTTTGAAAAGACCTTAAGCCTTGGTAGTCCAGAGACAAACTTCAGCAAATCTTTGACTCAGCAAACCTTCAAATGCATTAGAACTTTCCTTGCCTTGAAGTTTACAGGCCTATATATTCTAAGTACTACAGTCACTTCAGCAGTTAGGAAACAGAAATAATCTTTTTTATTTTTCTTTTTTTAACTTTCTTATACCTGTGGTTATAGAGACTAGACAAACAGGAACCTCAAAAAAAGGATAAACCAGCCAACCAATTTAAGGAAAGGTAGAGTGTCGTTTACAGAAGCCAATACCTTAGCAGCGACTCCATAATCTCTCCTACTTAGAAAGAAATAAACCACAATGAATGTAAGTGAATAGTCAGAAATAATTTATATATGGAAAAGATAGTTTGCATTTGATCTTGCTTCAATAGTTAAGTTTGTTCAGCTTGCATTTCATTTTGTGTCACAGTTGTTTTTTACTTACTGTGAAAGACTTAAGTTTACTATATATTTTAACTAATTTACATTTTTATTTCCACATACTTTATGATGAAAAAAATCTACCAATTGTTATGTTTAAAATAGTATGTTTTCATTTGATGATTCACAATCATTTTTCACTATTATCCATTAGCTATGGGCTATAGAGTAATTTTGTGATATCTGAGAGATTTTCTTAATATTTTCAACTGGTCTACTGTAGCTTTTGCAATATTAAAGATCTCCATGTTTTAGTGACTAATCTTAAAACCTCCAATGTCTTTCCTTGTCATATGGTCATTTTCTCTGGGTCTCCTTTGTCTTCAAAAATTTCTCTCTTTATGTTGGCATTAGTCATTGGATTTGGGGCCCAACAATATGATTTCATCTTATCTTGCTTATATCTGCAAAGATCCTATTTCCAAATAAGGAAGGTCACATTCACAAATAAGGGAGGTAGAATTTTAGCATATCTTTCAGAGGGTCACAATTCAACCCACCAGAGGTTCCTGCTTCCCACCAGAGGTTTAAGACAATGCCAAAGTATAATGAAAATATATCATTCACAAATGAAGTTTGTGCCACCTACCAATTTCTCAGTTCTTTAGCCTTATCCCATTAGGGAGAAAAATTCCAGCCAGCATTAGGAATATGGTTTATGGATACATACAAGAAAAGTTTATTAATACAAAGGATGAGGTTTATTGGATTCCTACTCTGTGTAAGGGACTTTGTTACGTGGTAGGGATAGAAGAACAGAGTATCAGTCCCTGCTCTGGCAGAGCTCATCCTGGGTATCTGGCCTGGTTCCATAACACTAGTCACAATAACAACTGTGCATAATTGTAAGTGAACAAATTATTTTCATCATTTTAAGCAAGAAAAATAACTCAATGAGCTTCATTAAATACAGTTTTTGTTATGCACTGCTCATTTCAATAAGATATGTAGAAGCTGAAGGGATGATTATGTTGAAGATGAGTTAACTTTTTTGAAGCTAATTATTCATATGACTTTGGAGCATTAGGGGAAAACAAAATGAGAGCAAGTCAGATGAAAAAAGGGTTAGATTCCTGCCAGCTGTCTTGACTTGTTTTACCCATTACCAAGTAGAAATTAGAGATGTTTGTTCTTCAAAAATTAGAGTGATTCTCATTTTAGGGCTTTATTTCTAAACACTCTGGACATGTTTTATACACTTACAGGATTCTTTTAGAATTTGAAAGGAAAGAGATTATTTACTTCAGAGTCTAAACACCCCATGTTTGTAATGTCAAACTAAGGTTTGTTGAATGTGACTTGACTACCACTATCCAACTGTATAGCACTATAAGCTTTATGAGAATGATGACCCTGTGTGGTTTGGGTGACTTGTATTCTCAGAGATGAGTATGTGCATAGCAGATAGTGTTCAGTAAATGCATGTTGCATGAATGAAACAATAACTTGAATAATTAAGGAGTCAGAAATATACTTCTTACTTTGTCCAGTACCTTAATAATGTTAAATTTTTTTTTTTGAACTGGAGATTTAACCCCAGTTAAAAATGAAGTTTTTTTTTGTGAACTACAGATTGGCAGTGGCTCAGCTTAGCCACTGAGCTTCATCCCCAGCTTTTTCATTTTTTTATCTTGAGACAGGGTCTGGCCAAGTTGCTTAGGGCCTCACTAAGTTGCTGAGGCTGGCTTTAAACTTGCAATCCTCCTGCCTGAGCCTCCAGAGCTGCTGAGATTATAGGCAGGCACCATTGTATCTGGCTATGATATCAAAATTTTAAATAGATTTAAAAGTCTCGATAAAAAATATTTGTTAGTCCAACAAATAGTCAGACATCTTCATTTATCCATGTGCTATTAAAACTTATTCAAAAAGAGAATAGTTTGTGCTCCAGATTATCCAATATTCTTGACTTGTGCACTTAACATTTCTCTGATCTTTATACTTCTTTCAAACTAGGTATAGGTAGAGGAGCTAAATCACAGATCTTGCTGCCTATTCACCCAGTAAGCCTTTTACAATAGCTGTTATCTGACCCAGCTGTTGAACTAAATTTAGGATTTTGTATTATCTGTAAACTGTTGCTTCAGTCTCCCATTACCAAGGTTAATTGAGAAGTGATTGTAGAACTAAAACTTCAGTGCATTTTTAAAAACTACATAATACAGTATCCAATAATATCAGTGTCATATCTACTAGGAATCAAAATTTGTAACCACTATTAAAAAACTGTTTAAATATTAAAGAACTGTTGCTATTTGTCAGAAGTTTCATCTTCATGAGGCCAGAACATTTCAGTGAAAAAGAAATGTTACCCTTCTCAATTGTATGCCCTGTTCTTATTAGTTACAGTTATGGAGTTAAAAATGAACCATTGCAATTGTGCATGCTATTTTACTGTAAATATCTAAACATCCTTTTTTCATAAGAACAATTTCATGTATTTGATCTGAAGGGGGGGAAAAAAGCAATTGCCAGTCTGTAGTTCACAAAAAAACTTCATTTTTAGACCTGTCCTAGTACTTTCCTGTTGTGACACTTGTATGCAAAATATTTCTAAAAAAAATTTTTTTTTCCCTAATGAAACCAAAGAGCCTTGCAAATTCTGTACTTCTTGTCTCCGTTTGGGCTCACAACGTTATGTATGTGTACTTTGTTTATAATCTTAGTAGCTAATAGCTGCAGCCCTGGTTAGGTTGTTTTTTTTTTTTTTTTAAATCTACAACAGATTCTTGCCATCTGTTTGTGTTTAAGTGATGACACAACATCACAACACGAAATGTCATCATGTCACATTGTTATAGCACAACAACAAAATTACAGCTCCCCAACAATAACATGGTGTCATGTTTTAGAACACTGCCCATGAGTCAGTGTTTTAGAAGTTATAAGAGTTATTTTTAGCACAGCCAGTGCTTCAGAAGCTTGGGTTCTGAATCCCACTAGAACCCCTAGTGATCTGGGAAAATCTGGGGCGGGCGGTGGAAGAGCTTCCTCTCCTTCAACTCCCCGCTCCCTGACATGCATGGCTGCCCACCTTCCTGCCCCGGCCACTTTAAACCCGGGTACTACGGTGCACTGCAATCCACTTGGGGCTCAGTCACAGGTCTGCGCCAGCATCTAGTGTGGAGGAGGAGAAGGAGGAGACTATAATTATCCTCCACGTCTGGGGCAGGCCCTCGAATGACATCTCCCCAGTTACTCCGTGCTCTAATAGCGCAGCTCCAATCCCTGATCTCAGATGGTGCGCCTCAGCTCCGAGAGCGGTCAAGAAGCGAGACCGAAAAGCTCAACGTCTCGGGCTTTCCTGACTGGGCGGGCGGGCCCGCCGGCGCCGCCACCTCTGGCGCCCTCGCGCCCGCCAGGCACTTGCACGGAAAACCGGGCCCGCAGACTAGAGCCCCCGGGCGCGCGGCGGCGTTGCTATAACAACCAGGCGCCCGCGCCGCAGAGGCCGCCGGGGAGGAAGTGACGAGCGGTGGGTTGGCTGTTGTTGGGACACGTGACCCAGGCAGTGTTTTGACAGGGCAAACAGCAGAGAAAGAACTGGGCGAGCGAGGGGGATCCAGAGCTGGGGCGCCAGAGCTAGCGACAGCGGGCGGGCGAGGAGCTGGCAGAGGCGCGGGGCAAGCGGGCCGGCCGGGGCGACAAGCGGGCGAACCCCGGGGCCGCGGGGCTTGGGTGCGAGTCGGGCAGGGCGAGGAGCTGAGGGCAGGGAGCGGAGCGAGGCGTCGGCTGAGGCGGGGGTGGATGGCCACAGGGGCGCCGGGGAGCCGAGTCGGGCTTGCGGTCTCGGACCCCCATGGTCCCCTAACGCAGCACCGGGGGCCGCTGCGCGCCACACTCGGTTCTCGCCGGCCCTGCGCCTTTTGGAGCCTCGGGTCTGAGGTGGGAGTGTGATGTGAGCTGCTGGACTAGCGGCGGAGAGAAGTGCCAAAAGGAGGAGGTATTGGGACGGGAGAAGTGAGCGAGTTAGTCAGCAGAGGTCTGCCGAGGGAGTCGAGGAGCGGGCCAGCCCGAGAGCGCCATGAAAACTACTCTCCAGCAGGGAGAGGGGCAGGCGCGGCGCTCGGTGCCGCGGGGCTGAAGGAAATCCGGGGCCGCGGAGGGACGGAAGGGGCCCGCGGCGAGCAGGCTGCACAGAGCAGTGGGTGAGCGAGCGCTCAGCTGTAAACACCTTCCTTGGGGGCAGACCTCAGGCTGGGCCACGTAGGGACGGGGTTTGTAGAGGGCGACCCGGGACAGTCCGGGAGAGTTCGTTTGAGCTGGGAGCTGGGGGCTGGGCGCCAGAAGATGACTCGAATTTCTTTCAGACCCTCTTATTGTGTAAACTTGGCCGCTGTTGCCTCAGGAAGGCTAGCCAGAGGGTAATTACACAGGTGAGGCCGGGCGGGGCGGGCGGAGCTCTTGGGAAACGCAAGGGTCCGGAAGAGTTTCCAGCCCCCTGGCACCAGGTGGAAGAATTTATAGACCAGCATTGAGGAGGTACCACTGTTCCCAGAAGCATTTTTTTTTTGGTTTGGTTTGGTTTCCCCCTCAAAGGGGTTGGTTAGTTTGTGTTGCTTGAATCTTTTTCTTCTTGCTTGTACCTCCGGGATATAAATAGACCTTGCTTTGGTTCGGAGACGCTGTGTCAGAAAAGGACACCTTGGCCTGGAGAGTTGAGGGGCGGGGAGAGGGGTGCTCCTTCGGGAGGAGATGGGGGAGACCATGCAAAGAGTTTTGCACTTTTCACATCTGCCGATGGTGCTGTCAACAGTAGTTTGTACCACAATAGGCCTAACTTAACAGTATTCTTGTACAGTCCTGATGTTAGAGCAGGACCAGTTTAATTTTATTTTGATCTCTTTTAGCATTTTGAAAACTAAGTAGAAGCCCTCGAATCAACAGTGAGCGCTTTGAAAGAACCCCCAAGTGTATTTCACAGCACTCTGGGTGGAAATTGGATGTGAAAATGAAGCCAGACCGAGGTAAATGATTTATTTAAGTGGACCTGTTTTTTGTTTTGTTTTCTGTGTCTCCTTTTAGACGTGTTAACCTAATTCTGCAGCAGGATCAACTATTTCTGTATCATATGTAATTATCTGTTTCTGTGACAGATTCCAGCTGGTGAGGAAAAGGAGGACATATGGAAGAGAGGGTTAGGAGGGGAGGACAGTTCTTCAAAAGTGCTTGTAGAGCAGTAGTTTCAATAGAAAATTTAGTGTATGTTAAAAGGAATTAATCAAAAATAGCATTTATATCTGTTGCCACAATTATTGGTATCATTTTAGAGTTACAGTCATTCACTTTTAGGTAAAGTGAATCAAACTTCAACTTTAATGATATTTACAAGATTTTTAAACAAGCCTTTTAAGCTCTTGCGAATTTGAACTTGATAGCGAACATTTAAGATTGTTGACAACTATTATTACGCTTTCATTAGCTGATTTTTTTGCTTTAAGCAGACTCCAAAAGATTGCAAAGTACTCAAACATTCTATATATCATATGGACAATTAAGGCTACCAAAATTCCTGGTGATAGGTACATGCTGCTTCCTTTCTAAACCTGTATTTTCAGGGCTTAAAAGAATAATATTTACACTGTGCTTTTCAAGGACTTCAAAGGGATTATCAGTCTTCTGATTAATGGCAAGGACCAGATTTAGATGTTTTTAATGTAGTTCTAGGGCTTTTAGTCAGCTATGGGTTTGATTCGAAGGAACACTGTAAAGAGGGGATTATGATATTTGATAGTTAGACTAGGTCACAGGGTTCCTTCCAACTCTGAGACTTTAGGATTCAAAATAGTATTTTATCCTATGAATTAGATGATTACTTTAAAAAGATATGTATTAACAGGCCATTTTTCTGTTTATAAGTAATTAGACAAATTGTCTAAAACATTTCTTTGGTCATAATATCTATTAAAATGCATTAGAAGCAGACAAAGACATATTTAGTGGCTTAAATTAATTTTGTTTAGAATCAGGCAATAGCTAGGTATGTATGAAGTATTAGTAAGTATATTATTATTGAGCAGGTTGCTTGCTTACAATGTGAAGTTTAGATTTTTAGATTACATTAGTGACTTTGGAAAAATGGCACCAAGGTCAGTAATTGCATCTCAGAATAAACAAGCAAATAAAATCAAAGTCACTATTTGTTTTGGATTGTTGTTAAAAGTTGCTTTAAAGTCATAGCAGTTTTAAAAATAGCATCACATATTTTAGGCTAAACTAGTGCTAAACCAAATAAAATACTTAATTATACACCTGAATAGATAAGGAGGGAAAATAAATTCATTCATAAAGATTTCCAAAGAGCTCAATTTAGTGTATGCATGTAATCCCAATTACTTGGGAGGTTGAGGCTCCAAGAGGATCTCAAGTTCAAGGCCAATCTTGGTGAGCAATTTAGTGAGACCTTGTCTCAAAATAAAATAAATGATTGGGGATATAGTGCAGTAGTAAAGTATTTTGCCTAGCATGTGTAACATCCTGGATTCAGTCGCCAGTACCACACATACAAAGTAATAATAATAATTTTAAAAATTCCAAAGAAAGCGACACCCCCCCCCTTAAAATTTTGTCTTACTTTAGTATTCTCAGGAAAATGATGGGATTACAAATTTAGTATTGATTATATTCCATAATAATAAATGAAGTTTTTTAAGCTTACAGATTTTTGGACCAGGACCCAGAGTAATTAATATCTTTTACTTAGCAAATTAGTACAAAAATACTGAAATGTTTTTCATAAATGTATTACCCTTACTATGTGCAATATGATCTTCTATTTTCTGTTCTTTTTCACTTTTTAAATTGCTGGCTGTCACAACCTATTGATTTTGAAAGGCATAGTTGTAGGCTTTAGCTAAAAATACTAATACATTGGTTTCCAAGGAACTATTTCATGAGTGAAATTTCTAGATAACTTAAATATCACTCCTGATGCCAGAAATATTTTCCTTTGTAATCATGATATATTGAGAGATACCTAAAATATTAATGGTCCTCTGCCCTTTTCTTATAGAAAGAAAAAGAATTTGCAGAGTCAATGTAATTTAACGTTTAGTTCATGATAAAAGGACACTGCTGTGAGTTTCAACTTTTTGCTGGATCATAATCTAGAGATGCCTGAAAAAGATATTTAAATTTATGAGATTTTTTTTCTAGCTTGAACTAGTCCAGTTTATCTAGCTTAAACTACCAGATTATTGCTTGCATCTATCTATCTATCTATCTATCTATCTATCTATCTATTTATCTATACTTACACATACATATTTAGATTTGTGTGATTTTTATATTCTCTTGGTATCAACAGTTTTTGTTCCTATAATGCTTATTCTTGCCTCCTTTAATTTCCTGCTTTTAATCTGTGGACTAAAGAACTAGATAACCATACTTAATATTAAGTTTTTTGTAAAATAAGTAAATAATAGAACCTCTCAAGTATTCATTCAGAATGTAAGTATAGATTTTAATATAGATGCTCAGATATTTGCTTAGTTGAATACAGCTGTGCTTCAGGGAGTTCAAATTTCTAAGTGTAATTGGAGCCTCTTATCTTATGATTGGGTGTGATAGTTGGCTAATAGAAACAATTTAAGTGGGGAATCATGGAAAAATATAGCAACCTTAACTTTTTCACCTGTCTTTTCATGTGAGCTTTTCTTCTGCTGCTTCCCTCTCCCCCAATGTTGGGGATTGAGCCAGGGCTTCTCACATGCTGGACAAGAGCTCATGCCTAGCCCTCAAGGCTCTTTTTGAAAATGAGATAGGGTCTGAGTTTTTTTAGAATTGGACATGATCTTTCTTGTATAAAGCATAGCAACAATGTACACCTAAACTTTCTAGTTTTGTTTTCATTAAGGTGTAATAAGACTTTTCCAAAGCAAGGGGTGAAATCTTATATTTTTAATAATTTCAAAGTTTTAAGATTTTTTACACACAATTTTATCAGCACATTATAATTCAACAGGAATTTGTTTTTGGAAAGTAGGAATTTATGTTCATCATAAATATTGAGGCTAGGGATGTAGCTCTGTGTTACAGTGCAGTCTTAAAGTGTGCAAGGCTATGGATTTGTTTCTCAGCAAAACCCGCCCCCAACCCCGCAAATTGTGTTTATCAAAATGTACTTTTCCCAAAGCATTAAATTTAGTTGTCACAGAAATAATTTTTTTGCCCTTGTTTCCTTGGTTTATTATAATAGTTATTATTAATTATAAGTAGAATGTCATAAACAGATTTATAAGGAAGAAAAGACCAGATTCTTATTAAACATGTAACTCAACTAGTGGAAACAGAAGTGTGCAGGCAAGTAGAAAGTACCCTTTAGCCACTGGTGTTCAGTATCAGCAATGTCTGTCAGTTTGTTTTTATGATGGATGTGCCCTGGTCAATTCTGCCAGTTAATTAAGTGAAGGTTAGTTAGGAGATTTTCTATTCTACTTTTAGATAAGATGTTAGTGTATGGAACAATGGCTACATTTCACAGTAGTCAATATAGTCAAATATTGTCAACATATTTTAAGGTTAGAAATATTTTTAAAAATTTTAGGCAGTTATATAACATTACTTGGGTAATGCTGCCAACTGTGAGTCTCTGATGTTATCATTAGCACAGGCTTTGGAATCAGACCTGTGTTTATATACTTTCCATTACTTGCTTGCTATGTAATCTTTATCACATTAATCTTTATCTCAGTGTCCTTGTCTATAAAATGGAAATGATTACAAACTCCCAGTTATTAGAATAAAATATGACAGTAGTTGACATTAAAAAGTATTAGATTAATATCTTTTGTATGGCTAATTAAAACATTACAGATGCTTGTATGTTAGTTGCAAAATATACTCAACAGAGATAAGAAAATAATCTAATGTAATAACCTAACACTATTTTATCTTGTTTTACATTCATTGTATTCAGTCTGCCAAGGTCAAGCAGATTTAGTAGACATTTAATATACAGTTGTCTGAAAAAATATAAAACCTTAAGGATACTTGAATGTATGTATAATCTATTATTTATATTGTCATTTGCTTTTATAATTATAGCTTAATTCTGTATGTAGGGGTGATATGTATGATTGAAATACATTTTCTGGCAATAATTAGATTTTTAAATGGTGTTAACTGCTGACTAGGGCCGGGTAACTAGAGAAAGAAATCAAACAATGTTATTCTACCTTGGACTCAAGGATGTACAAGTTGGGACCTGTCCTAGATATATTAATACTGAAGGCCCAGTGTTTCAAGAAAAGTCTAAAATGTTATTTGTGTACAAATAATTAAAATAGTTCATATTATGTTATAAATATATGGAATTTCTAATCTTATCTTTAAATGCTCCCTGAGCTTATCAAAACTTATGAAAGATTAAGAACCAAAATTTTTAATTATCCAGAAGTTAATAATTTAAATATACTATATCAATTCATATTTAAACACCCAGTCATGATGACTAAATAAAACCTGTTAGTGCAAAACCTGTTCCACAATCAAAATGCCAAACAATTTACTTTCTTTTTCTTTTGCATGTGTGTGTGTGGTTAAAACTGAGAGGAGTTCTCTCTTAGTTTTTTCCCTCTTTTTATTATATTACAAATTTTGGTATTAGGCTTAGTATTACTGTGGCTTCTGAATGTATTTATGGCATAATATAATCCTGTTAACTTCAAATGATTCTTTCCTAGGTATGTGAAATAGGAGGAAGATAAAAGGACTAGAAGAAAATGGCAAGGGCATTAGGTGCGTTGCTTACTTCTTGAGAGTAGTTCATTGTTAGTTTATGTAAATCAAGCAACAGAAATGATAGATGTTGGAGGAAAAGAAAAAAAATGTTGACTAGATTTAAAAAGACTGATCTTTTGCTAAATTCCTAGGTAGAGGTAGTAGTGATAGTATTGGTAATAACAGCTAATACTTAGGCATACCATGTACCAGACATGATTCCAAATGATTTGTATATGTAATTCTT